CTCTCTACTTCTAACCACGGTTGCTGTGTTTCATGAAGGTGCCGAGCTTCACACTGCAGTGAAAATTGAGCCCACAGCGGGAAAAATAAAAAGACCAACTTGTTTGGGGTTCAGAGGGTTAATGCAGAGCCTTACCAGCTTTTACAGGCAGCAGTGTACTCAGTCTCTATGGTATAAAGTAGTATCTTAACAAAATAATCGGTTTTGAAAACGTCAAGTTTCGCACTAATTCCTCCACTAACGGCAACCACGACAGGAGACCGGGGAAGTCAGGGGCCAATTTGCTCCATGTTCAGCCTGACTGGCCAATCAATGATGCAGGAGGTCTGCCCACATTATGAAGTGATTAAGAGATCATTTGGAGCAAGAAACCAATGCACTTTTGCCATCCCCCCACCCCCCCACCCAACTAAGAGTTGGACGATCAATAGCTTGTATGTATGGCCAGAGGCTATTTACAGAGACACTTGTTTCCTTATTTCACTCGCTTCCTACCGTTAAACACAGAATTGAGAATAATCGAAGCGGAATTAGAGGTGAGGCTGCAAGAGACGGTCCGTCGTCATGTCGGCATTATCTTTATCTTTGGGAGGGAAATGCTTTTTTATTTTAAAACAAACAGGAATGCGTGGATTGTGGATGATGCAGCCGGATGAAAGTTCTGGGAGATCCTTGTGCTTAGTCATCAGCTAACAACCCTCCAAAACGATGCGCATATGAGGTCGCATTTCTTCACATGAAAAATGCATGAAAAATTTACAAGGATTTGTTTTTTTGGATGATTCATTTCCTTCCCCTTTCAAAGGAGATCTTTTTTTGTTGTGCACGCTGCTTCCAAGCAGCCCTGTGGGTAGCACGTCCTGCCTCCTTGTTACACAAATCAAAGAGCGTGTGTCTATGATGCTATATAAAAGATAGGTACCCCCGTCCTTCATCTAAAGGGCAAAACCCATACGGAGACAAAAAGCATGAATGTACAAGTATTATTACCTTGACTGCAGCCTTTTGGAGAAAAAAAACAAAACCGCAACGAAAACACAAAAACCTCAGAGCATGACTTAACACAGAAAGGAAACAAAGAGGGAGTAAAAGCCCTGAACAACATATGGTAGCTGAGGTTTTAATTCTTAACAAAGAATCCTTTACGGGACTTAAGACCCTCTGTTGGCTAAAAATATAAATCAGAAGCAAACTGCTGACTCTGTGAGCTACAGGTTATATTTTGCCCTCTAATTGCTGGACTCCATCCACCGTGCTTCACGAAGCGAAACCAGATAGCCATCCAGTGTTCCTGCAGCGCTGCCTGTGGCCGTGGCGGGTTGGCAAGTGGCGCCCGAGTTCATGTTCGACAATGGGTTAATGTTTCTGAAGAACAGCTCGACAAAACCGCAGGAAGACAGCCAGTCTCGGTGGACAAACCAAAGCCTGTCACTTGTCCAGTTTGTGGTCTGCTGCCTCCCGCCATCTTTCTCTTCTTCCTCCTCTTCTTCCCCGTAGCCTCTCACTGAACTCAAAGGTTTTCCTCCCAAAATTTACACACTCATCAGCACGGCTATAATTTCCAGTCTTGCGCTAACCGCACCAGGACCACAGGAGTGATGCGACTGCACGCCTGTTTTTGGAATCAAAAGTAATTACAAGGCTGCCAAGGATGCAAATCTAATAGTTGATGATTGGAGCAGTGGGAGAAAATGTTGTCAGCTCTGTGTTCACCTTTACTTCGAGTGGGCTGCGACAACAAAAGGGAAACAGATGCTACTAAACTGGCAGCGTACATTATGTCTGAGCCACAGGCAATCTGTAAATGAACTTTAAAAGCCATGCAGACCAATATACCTGGGAGATACAGTGCACTGAATCAGCAAAAAAAACATGAGCAAAAACTTTTCTTCTAGCACAGTAAAGAAGTTGTTTTGGTTCAGCTGGAAACTATTAGACAAAAAAAAAAAAAGAGCTATGTCCAGTCAGAACAGTGATGGAAGACCTACTTGCCATGCTGCAGGAGGCACAAGGCAGGCCCGTCTGCAGCGCTTAACCTGTGCATTTGTAATGCTTGATGCAACATGTTAATGTGATTTCTTACCGGCTGTGGCCAAACGGGGCCAGACCTGGAGGCCAAGGCCCGGTGGTCTCAGCAGATAGCCTGGACCAGCCTGTGCTGTGTCAGCCCCGGATTATGGATGACAGGGAGCCTGTGGGCCTGACAGGTAATAATTCACTCCCCAGGGGTCCCACACCCTTCACTGGACACAATGCAACCAGCCAGGAAAGGGGTGCAGCCTTGGAGCTCACATCCTCATAACCCAACCTCTTCCCTCTTTTTCTTTTTTTTTTTCCACCCCCCTGCACCATGCCCTTCAAGAAGCAGGGCTCTCATTGGCTGCACAGTTGCCAGGGGTAACCAGCCATTATCAAAATGAAATATGAGGTGCCACAGACCGGTGCCTCTCTCAGGTGCAGGGCCAAACAAAGTCCCATATGTCGCGGATGAGGAGCGGAGATTAACTGTTGCTTCCTGAAGCACGGCGCCGCGCACCGGGCCATTCTTCAGACATCAGCGGCTGCACGTGTGCTCCGAGTCGGAGGCACTTCAGACAAATCACCGCCGTTGAGGTGTCACAACAATAACCCAAAATATATTATCCAATGCCCTCAAGTTCTACTGAGCTCAAAATGGGGGGGGAAACGAGCGTGACTGCAACCATTCAGCAACTTGAAGTTCGCTTGGGAATGTAATGTCAAGCGTCTTCATCGGTCCTGCTGAATTTCTGCTCTTTTTTTTTTTCTTCCGACCAATTCACAACTACGGACTTACCCAGTGTGTGTGTGTGTGTGTGTGTGAGCATTATGTATAGCTATGTTCAGATATTGAGCACTTTATCTCGATGATGAAAATGGAAATAGGCTTGCTCAATGTCCCCCAAGGGCCACAGTCCTCAGCCCCTGGTTAGGAGCCTATTTCAACCATCATTACCCTGAGGACCATTAGGAAGATGCCATCTGCACACACAGGGCCCCTCCACTGGGGCCTCTTGTCATTTCAAACTAAAAGCAAGCGGCGAAATGGAAATCGGAAATAAAATTACACACTGGGCTAAATGCACCATTAACCATGCTAACTGAGCGACGGACCTATCAGCGCCTGGAAATGAGAGCTGGACGAAGAGCAAGCAATTTTCAGCGGTGACGAGGAAATGAATGCACTGCTGGTACTTTGGTCTCTCTCTCACATTTATGACTGTAAGTCACTCGTCAGCAGAATGTGACTTTCCTAATGGTGATGTGTGAAAGAGGAGGGGGGGAATAAAAAAACAAGTTGGCCGATTGTGAGCTGAATGTAGATTCGTATGCATTAACACAAGGCGTGAGCGAGTGAGGAAGACCTGCCGCTTAATTACCAGACAGGCTGCACAGGTGCATCATCCCACCGGTGCTCTCCTTGTCAGCACACCGGCTACACGTCAAATAAAATAACCTGAAACCACATTGCAATGCCCTCTGAGCAGCCAAAGAGTGCTCAGTCACTGTACAACTGCGGTAAGGAAACCGCAAGCCATTAGCAACACCCTCCATCCTGTGATACCACTGCAGCAGCTGAGATGAACAGGGGACGAGGGGGGAAAAAAAACCCCAAAGAAAATCACAAGATCCGCCGACCACACTGTCTCCACTTAAACATCTGACTGGCTGGACTCGGGGAGAGCATGATGCATCTTTCCCTGAGCAGCCGGAGCCAAAAACAAAAGGCACATTCTGAGTGAGTGAATGTTGCCTCTGCTGTTCAATCGAGGCAATGTAACCTTTAAGCTGAACATACATTTTTTAAACGCCCGTGAAACTTTTGCAAGACTCGGGGAAAGGATCTGTGGAAAAAAATAAAATAAAATAACAAGCCCCGGCAGCCTCCGAGTGTGGCGAGAGGACACATACAGTATTACCTTGCAACAGGCCCAAAATGGACAAAAAAAGTAGTGGTGTAGTCTGTCTCTGTTTGTGCATGAGAGGGGAGATTTATTTATTGTTGAAATGTTCTTAGCCTCAACTGAAACTGAACACCCACTGAGGGAGATGAGAGGGCTTAATGCACAACAGGCTGAGACCAACCAATAGTCCCATTTCTGCAGAGATTGGCTCAAGGAGCAGCTCTGAGCATCTATTTCAACATAAATAACCACCAGCGGCTCCGAGGAAAAAGAAAAAAACAACACACACACAGGTTTCAAATCTCTTTGTGCATCGTGGGCATGATGAACACTGAGCTCCAACACACACACTGCTGCTGAAACTCTGCGTGCAAAAGCAGAAACCTGTTAGAACAATGAGCTCATCGTTTTCCCTCCGAGTTTGGCATTTAGACAAAACTGCAGATGAAGTAAAGCATGATTTAGGAGGAGAAAAAAAACCCAAAACGGGTCGTTTTAATCAAACACAACAGGCGTGCAATTGCTGTTTTCTTTTCCACAAGCTCGAATGCATGCATTTATGTTACGCTGCTATTAAAAAAAGGGGTAAATTCCTCCTTGTGAAGCTGGCTTTTTCTTGCACAGACAGATCCCCGTGTGAAAAAAAAACAAGTTTGGTCTGTTTCCGTTAGAAAATAAACCGGGGTAGGCAAATTCAATTAGCGTCTCGGGCACTCAGATTATCAGCTGCAGAGTTGAAAACACGATCTGATGTAATAAAAGGCACAGGAGGATATATAGATGAAACACAAATGCCTCGGAAATAATAAAAAATCAGTGCAACCAGCCGCTGCAGAAATGAGCGAGACTCCGACGGAGGGAGAGAAAAACACAAGCAGCGGAGCCCAAATGCAACTTAGGAGGAGCGGAGGGACAGTTGACAGCAATAAAAGGTTGTTTTTTTAAGTTATTAGCATGCTGGAATAATCCCACCGCCGTGTCAAACTTAACGAGCATCCTAATGAGCAAAGTAGACGCAGCTGCAGCAGCATCGCCAACTAGGAAAAAAAAAAAACAACCACTTCTTCTTCTTCTTACCTTATTGTTTCCTTCGTAGTTCCACAGTGAAGGGAGGAAAAAAACAATAAAAAAATACGTCGCTAGTCTCTCTGAGGAGATACCGTCGCCGAGGAGAAGCGGTAAAGTAGCGGTAATAGTTGTATTATTTGCTGGTTGAAAGTCGGTTAGTATTCCCAGAGCGCCAGCGCAGCGACAAGGCGCCCCTCTCACTGCCGTGACAGGACTGGAGCCCGTCACACCGAAATCACAACACTTCGGCAGCGGCTCAGGCCACGCCCCCCCGGAGCGGAAGATTGACAGGCGCCCCGTCCAATCGCGGAGCGGCATTAGGAGTACGGTCCCCTCCGATTGGTCGGTGGCTCGAGTTTTTTGTGTCGCGCCCCGCCCAGCACGGCTCACTTTTCTCCCAGATGTTAAATGCCTCAACATCAGGGCCCCCGTGAACCCAGCCAGCCAATCAGAGCGCAGCAGAGAGGATTTAAACACACACATAGTTTGACTTCTTTGGGGGAGTTCGAGCTGATTTAAGCAATGTCATACAACATTAAGGACGTGATTTTTCTTGTAAATGCTACTTTTTAAATATAATACATGAACTCAAATTAGTTCAGTTCAAATAACTTGTTATTTATCCCCTAGGGGCAATTCTACGGAGCCCCGGAAGGGACATGGAGAAAGAAAAACGGAAAAAAAAAAAAAAGAGAAAACAAAAATAGAGGTAACTTTAGTAGGATCTTGCAAAACTTTCATGGGATCTTGCAATTCAAGAGATTCAAGATGACAAATAAAGCTTATCTTGAATCTCTTGAATCAATAACTTTGCAAGATCTCGCAAAACTATAAGTAACTCCCGTCCAGGTTGGATGCCACCGGCCAAATCAATAGAAGACGAAGAAGAAGAAAACTATCGGTATATATACTTATATGATATGGAGACACTTCATAGTGAAATATAATATAATACCAACATAAAATTAAGTGTATTTATTTACAATAGATAAATGTGTTTAAACTGCAATATAAAGTCTGGATGCTACTATATGAGTTGTGCATGTAATTAACTATTTAAATCAGTTTCTGTCCCTTTTTCTGGTCATGGATTAACCCCCTAAAAACTCATTTCTATATGTCAAAGTTACATTTTTATACTTAGGTTTCTTCCGTATGAACTCCCAGAAGTTTGAATCCATGTTTTTCACACTGTCTTCAGTACGCTATGCTCAAGTATAATAATATTAGCCATTATAGGCTTTTTTAAATTAATTTATTTTTTAAATTTGGACTTTAATTCTTTTATTAATCAATTTCAATTAAAAAAAAGAAAAAAATGTCGATGAAATCTTTTTGTCTGTAAAATGTCAAAAAAAACAATTAAAATTATTCATTACAGGTTCTGGGAGGCCTCATTGTTCTCTTCAGATTGCTTATTTTGTCCAACCAACACTCCAAAACCTGTAGAAAAGTCCATTTTCAGTCAGGAAATGCTACAAACCCTTAAGATTTAGAAGTTAGAACCATCCAAATCTGGGTATTTTTGCTTCACAAATGACCTGCAATCCATTTTGTTTGTTTGTTTGTGCTCCACTACAAAACATCTCGTTCACTCCAGTGAATCTATATGCAGCATATACATATAGATATCCTTATTGCACACAGTCGCCTTCAAAATAAACCACGTTTTCATAATGCATTGTATAAGAGGAGCTAAAAATTCTACTTGCGTTGCACGCCGAATGCCCTACAAAAGAAAATAGCTGAATATAATGTGAAAGGCAGGGACACAGTGTACCAACAACAGTTAATCAGCTGGTGATGATGATGTGTAGCACATCGCCAGACACACTAATAAGACACCTGTGCAGCGATGGCAGAGCTGAGGCATTCGGTCTGACCGTATCTGCTGTTTGATGATAATCTAATAGATGGCCGTGGACTCGCTGACTCATTCATCTCTAGCCTTCATCTATTGCATTTCCATTTCAGTCAGTCTTTCTTGTCAAAAATGCTCCTGAGTTGGACAAAGGACAACAGCTCAAGTGGCCTCTGCACTGGTTGTGCAGACACTGACACTGTTAGCCACTTTGGTAGTCGGTTAAACGGGCAGGAGTCTTGCTTTTTCATTACTCTACTCCTTGGCTTCAAGAAGTAGAAAAAAAAAAAAAATGGCTGTGTTTAGGGTTAGCCGTGACTCAACACCAGTAGATTTACTTCAGTCATTTCGCTTGGCAGTGCGACGCTGCCTGTTGTGGTGAGGTGAGGGAGAGGACAGAGGGGCGAGGGCTGCATGGATTTTGGTCAAATCTTTGGCCGCCCCCAGTTCTCCACAACAATCTGCAAAAAGAGGCATTGACGAGTTTTTCTCTCCGTTCGGGGTTTAAGAATCGTATCATTTTCTTCGGATAATCAGATAAGTGGTTGGAACCTCAATGCAAATACCTTCATAGCCTCGGGCCGCGGTGCATTTCCATTACAGATCATTACATGTGCACAGTGCGGGCAGAGCTGCTTTGAAAATAAATTATTGCTGAGCTGACAGTAGAAACAGTTCAGTGTTTCAGGATATATGCAGGCTTTTTTTTTTTTTTTTTTTGCCTCGTCAAGAGTTAGATGAAAATAATGGTAGCGCTGTTGTATCTGGCCAGCAAGTTGCAAAGTCAGTCAAAAGCTGAAAACTCAGGATAATAGAATAGAATGGAATAATTTTTATTGATCCCTCATTGGGGGGAAATTTACACGCCACAGCAGCATCAAAAAATATAGCAAGTACAAGAAAATAATAATTAAGTAATATGCATGCATCCCCGGCAGGTCCAAGGCCCCACCGTCTCCGGTTGGGCAGATTAAAGTCTCCTGAGATGACGATTAGAGACTGAGGGTGTGATGTTTGCAGCTGGGACACATGGTTGAGTTCAGCAGCATCAGCCGAGGGGGGGACGTAACCTGCAATCGCCAGGACGTGCAAAAACTCCCTCGGCAGGTAAAACCAACCGCCAGCAGTTCAACATCCTTCGTGCAGCGCCGCTCTTTAGCTAGCCTGGCTTCATCCAAACTTGGGAAAACGTGCAGCAGCAGTTTTAAAGTTCAATCATTGATGGGTTACACTTTGTTTAGATGCACTAAAAAGTTGAAGTTGTGGTTTTGCATTGGTTTAGTTAAGAAGTTAACCAGCTTCCCGTACTGACATCACACTGACTCGTAACTCTTGGCATGAAACTAAACAAGTACATCTCTACATGTTCCCTTAACAATAAGGCCACGGTTGTTTTTAGAGACAATAACTCTCTGATCAGTGATCTCTCCTTCTGCGAATCCAGGAGTTGTGCTGTGATGACATTTCCTAACACCTGGCAGGTCACTTTCATTTTGTGACTTTCAGCAAACAAAAGGGGAGTAAACTCCTCGCGTCTTATCTCACAAAACCACACCGCCAGCCAAAAAAACAACGGAGGTGCTGAGAAATTTGAACACAATAATTGGTTAGGAAAGGGCAGAAGAGCTGTGGGCTGTCATCATCGTTCAAACCGGCGCTCACTTGTTTGCATAGGAACAAGGAAGCTGATACAGTCAACCAGGTACAAACAACGCCGAAGGACACTAGAGACTCTTTGAGTAAAATGGAAACTCATATGGTACATTTGACTATATTGTTGTTGCTTAAGTGTGTTTTAAAGACCTCCAACAGATCTGAGGTGTAGTCGGAGGTGCAGGTGTGATGTAAACACAACTATGCAAGAGTTTTATGCCCTTTATCCCTCATGTGATCTGATCGTCTGCTCTGTTCCAAACTGATTCTGCAGCTGTAAACATTCAGTCAAGATGATTAAAAAAACAGGAGCTATTTTCAGGGACAAGCAGTCCTGCACAGGCTCCACAGAACCCTGATCTCAACGTCATCGAGCCCGTGTGGGATTACACCAAGAGTCAGAACCGAGACAGCCTAAATACACAGAACAACCGTGCCAGGATCTCCAAGATGCTCGGAAGCAGCCTCCCTGCCAAGTACCTCGAAAAGCTCGGAGAACGTGTACCGATGAATTTTAATTAGATTCAAGGCGTTTCTCTTTATCCCCTAAATTCCAGTTCATCCACAAAGTTAGTGCAGAGTCGAATGTTCAAAATGACATTTAAAACAATGCGTTAGAGGACACAAATACTCATACCATGTGAGCTCAACGTTATTTTTTCATGTTTAATCAACAGGTTTTGATATTCTAACTCATCAAGTCCAATAAAACACACATACGTTGTGAACCGAACATACATTTAAATAGATGATTACACTGTTTATGTACGTTTTCTTGAAATCAATACTTACGTTAAGTACAAAAATATTTTGTCTTCAACATAAAACTGTCACAGTTTCCTGCCTTTTTGTCCACCTATTGTTTTCTACATACTCAGTGTTTAAATAAACATTAGTGAAAACTAAAGACCATCCCATGCTCTAAAATCAAATTTGCAAGTAGATAAGGGTGAAACAAAACAGTTAATTTGCACCAAGTGTATTTAAAACGTCCATGTACTGGATAAACTACAAAATGATGAGTACAGTTTGTTTTGTACAAATCTTAAGTAGAGTGAGTGAGTTGGGAGCTTATTGTAGTTTATGAATAAAAGCTAGTGATGGTGTTATTTTTGAAATCATTCTGACTTTACTGTTCATGTCTACGACTTTTATAAAGTGTTGTTGCTATTATGTGCATATTTTAATAATTTATTGTAGATTTTTTTGCAACACCAAGCACCTTTAATCACTTTTTAAATAATGTGAATATATAGTTCGACACCTTCCTGGGTTTTTTTGGCCCATATTTTGAGTTCTGATGCATCTGGAACTACACTGCGTAACAAATGACCACCCAGCTGTTTCAGCCTCTGTCACATATTGTTCAGCATCTATCTACAAGTCTGATGCCGGTGTGACAACAGCAGGCTTACTGGAGTTTGTTTTAACAAAATAATATCTATACTTTCCTCGGGGTTAACCCCAGGAGCTTAGAGTCAGACTTTGTGTATTAGTCTTTATATCAAGGAAAATATTTTCTTTTGTAAATTTTGTATGTTTTCTCACCGTAAAATACTGGAAGTTGAGATATTCTTTCATAATTTTATAGTTGGGATTGTGGGGAAACATC